TTGATTTTGATGATACTAAATATATAAGAAAAAAAATCAATTTCATAATGTATATTTACCTTTTTAAAATTAAATTTCTCCCATCAAATTTCATGTGTTTTCCATCATAAAAATTAGAATTCTTAGAACCAAGTTGATTTAAAAAACATTTATTTCTAATTTTGATTTTAATGATAATAAATATATAAGAAAACAATCTGATCTCATAATGTATATTTCATGTATATGATTTTTTATTTTGAATAATAACATAAATCAAAACTTTATTAAAAGCAAAACAAGCAAGTTTAAGCATTCAATCTAACACCATTTTTTAAACAAAAAGAATAAAGTCTTGCTTCGCCTAACACCGTTTTGTCTAACCAAGAAACGAGACATCATTGCTTTTGAGACTATTTCCTCCGAGATAACGAATAAAAACTCAATTAGTATGGCATAGTTACCTCTTACTTGATTCTTAGAACCAAGTTGATTTAAAGAACATTTATTTCTAATTTTGATTTTGATAATAACAAATATATAAGAAAACAATTTGATTTCATAATGTACATTTCGAAATATATATGATTTTTTATTTGAAATAATAACAGAAATCAAAACTCTATTAAAAACAAAAGAAGCAAGTTCAAACATTCAATCTAACACTATTTTTTAAACAAAAGGAATAAAGTCTTGCTTCACCTAACATTGTTTTGTCTAACCAAGAAATGAGACATCATTGCTTTTGACACCATTTCCTCCGAGATAATAAATAAAAACTCAATTAGTATAGCATCGTTACCTTTTACTTAAGGGATAAATAGTCATTTTGTCTTATGATCCTTTTGTCTATGGTAAAAAAAATTTAGACCATTTCGTCAATGTTACAATGGACAAATCATTTAGTAACATCATCTAGTTGACATCCTCTAAAAATCAAACTTAGCATCATCTTGAAGATTTCAAATTCTCTCTCAAAGAATGATTTTCTTAATCATTATAGTTAACAATAGTATAATAGTACACAAGTTATGTCTCATAAAACCAGCAAAATACTATAAGTTGTGCATAATATTTTAACACATAGAATAATTCATATAAGAACTCAAATTCCAAGGAGTATACCATAACGAAATGTAATCATGTTGGCTTCTTTATATATACAACTTAATACTCACAAACCAAATCACGATTTACCTTTTTAAAATTGAATTTATCTCATCAAAATTCTTGTGCTTTCCATCAAAAAAAGTTAAGATTGTTAGAACCAAGTTGATTTAAAGAACATTTATTTGTAATTTTGATTTTGATGATAATAAATAAGTATATAAGAAAACAATTTGATTTCATAATGTATATTTACCTTTTTAAAATTGGATTTCTCCCATCAAATTTCATGTGTTTTTCATCATAAAAAATTAAAATTCTTAGAACCAAGTTGATTTAAAGAATATTTATTTCTAATTTTGATTTTGATGATGACAAATATATAAGAAAACTATTTAATCTCATAATGTATATTTCATGTATATGATTTTTTTATTTTGAATAATAACATAAATCAAAACTCTATTAAAAGCAAAAGAAACAAGTTCAAACATTCAATCTGACACCATTTTTTAAACAAAAAGAATAAAGTCTTGCTTCACCTAATACCATTTTGTCTAACCAAGAAACGAGACATCATTGCTTTTGACAATATTTCCTCCGAGATAACGAATAAAAACTCAATTAGTATTGCATCGTTACCTCTTATTTGATTCTTAGAACCAAGTTGATTTAAAGAACATTTATTTCTAATTTTGATCTTGATGATAACAAAATATAAGAAAACAATTTGATCTCATAATGTATATTTCATGTATATGATTTTTTATTTTGAATAATAACAGAAATCAAAACTCTATTAAAAGCAAAAGAAGTAAGTTCAAACATTCAATCTGACACCATTTTTTAAACAAAAAGAATAAAATCTTGCTTCGTCTAACATCATTTTGTCTAACCAAGAAACCAGACATCATTGCTTTTGACACCATTTCCTCCGAGATAACGAATAAAAACTCAATTAGTATGACATTGTTACCTCTTACTTGACTCTTAGAACCAAGTTGATTTAAAGAATATTTATTTCTAATTTGATTTTTATGATAACAAATATATAAGAAAACAATTTGATCTCATAATGTATATTTCATGTTATGATTTTTTATTTTAAATAATAACATAAATCAAAACTCTATTAAAAGCAAAAGAAGCAAGTTCAAACATTCAATCTGACACATTTTTTTAAACAAAAAGAATAAAGTCTTGCTTCGCCTAATACTGTTTTGTCTAACCAAGAAACGAAACATCATTGCTTTTGACACCATTTCCTCTGAGATAACGAATAAAAACTCAATTAGTATGACATTGTTACCTCTTACTTGATTCTTAGAACCAAGTTGATTTAAAGAACACTTATTTCTAATTTTGATCTTGATTATAACAAATATATAAGAAAACAATTCGATCTCATAATGTATATTTCATGTATATGATTTTTTATTTTGAACAATAACAGAAATCAAAACTCTATTAAAAGTAAAAGAAGCAAGTTCAAACATTCAATCTGACACTATTTTTTAAACAAAAAGAATAAAATATTGCTTCTCCTAACACCGTTTTGTCTAACCAAGAAATGAGACATCATTGCTTTTGACACCATTTCCTCCGAGATAACGAATAAAAACTCAATTAGTATGACATCGTTACCTCTTACTTGATTCTTAGAACCAAGTTGATTTAAAGAACCTTTATTTCTAATGTTGATTTTGATGATAACAAATATATAAGAAAATAATTTGATTTCATAATGTATATTTCATGTATATGATTTTTTATTTTGAATAATAACAAAAATCAAAACTCTATTAAAAACAAAAGAAGCAAGTTCAAACATTCAATCTGACACCATTTTTCAAACAAAAAAAATAAAGTCTTGCTTTACCTAACACCAATTTATCTAACCAAGAAACGAGACACCATTGCTTTTGACACCATTTCCTCCGAGATAACGAATAAAAATTCAATTAGTATGGCATCGTTACCTCTTACTTAAGAGATAAATAGTCATTTTGTCTTATGATCTTTTTGTCTTTGGTAAATAAAACTTAAGACCACTTCATCAATGTTACAAAAGACAAATAATTTGGTAGCATCATCTAGTTGACATCCTCTAAAAATCAAACTTAGCATCATCTTTAAGATTTAAAGTTTCTCTCTCAAAGAATAATTTTTTAATCGTTACAATTGACAATAGTATAACAGTATACAAGTTATGTCTGATAAAACCAGCAAAATATTATAAGTTGTGCATAACATTTTAATACATAGAATAATTCATGTAAGAACTTAAATTCTAAGGAATATACCATAAAGTAATATTGGCCTCATTATATATTCACAAACCAAATCACGATTTCACAAACCAAATCACGATTTCACAAACCAAATCACGATTTCACACTACACCACTTGTAATATTTGAAAACAAGATAAATTTTAAACTGAAAATTTCCAGTAATACAAAGAGTATAATGAACCTTATTTCATATCCTTTCATTTCAAAGTTGTAATTCTACAAAGAATTTAGTTGAAGTCAAAATCTTTTAGAAAACAAAGAACTTGTTTAAGTATCTTTATAACATAAATCTATAGTATTGTCAGGAGATAAAGAGATACTAGTGGTTATAATCAGTTTATTTATAGTAAAAAGTTATTTTAAGTGTATCGAGACTAAACATAACTATTTAAGTTGAGGATAAATAATGATAAATTTATGTTTCATTTTATTTCCTTATTTATCGACGTTTGGTTTTACTCTGAATGTTCAACAAAGTTTTCAAAAAGGAAAAAGTTTTAAGTCACACAATTCAATCTCTTTTTCTTGTATTTTTTATTCACCTTTAAGAAAGTCAGTCATGATAACTATTGGGTGCGGTTGAAATTGATGTCTAAGTCTCAGAGCTAATAATACTAGGGTGAAGATTAGTTTTTACAACTTTTGATATCTTATTTTTCTCATTGCAACACATTGCTTACGAAGTATACTGAGTACTATGTTCAATTCTTGAAAGTCTTGTTCACACTAGAAATTGATGTCGACATCTAGAATTTTTGAAGTCTTGGTAGAGCGATAAAAGTAGTACGACTTGAAAATGGGCCATAATAAGAATGTCATTTGCCCAATTAGTTATTGTATCTCTTTGATGGACTACGTACTTTACGTATTGAGTATCACCTTTCACTTATAAGAATTAATTTTATGCCATAAATCCAAAATAATAACTTTTCTAGATTTGATCTCATATTAGAGTTTCTGACATTATCTTGTACTATGATTTTTAGGAATTCAGAATCAATGAGTGACACTTTTTACCTTAAATCATGATCATCGTGATCTTTAAAAACATTTCTATCAGTTAATAAAAATTGACAAAAAAAAAATTAAATAACTTTGACAAAAAAAAAATCTAACACATAGACAAATCAACACATATAGACAAAAACAAACATTTTGGATTATATAACAAACATTTTAGATTACATAATCACAATGCTAGCATAAACGTATTTTTGAATTTTCAATAAACTTCTTAGAAATGAAGAGTGGAAAAATAACTCTAAAATATTTTGAAGGAGGGTCGCATTTACTTATTCCATAACAATAGACTCTAACATATTGATTTGGATTACAAGCGGATCTATAATCGACGTTCGATGTTGTTTACTTTTAATTTTATCAGTGCATAATTTGACAAAAATAATGCCATGAATGATTCTTCACAAAACTAAGAATTTCAGAACATTAATATTATAAAGATATTATTTCCAAAAATATTTCGTGGACTCATTATCCCTTAAACTTGAACAAACTCAACAAGAGTTTTTTTAATTACATCCATCACAGAAAAGAATTTCCTTTGCCCCACCAATCAATATACCACCAGTATACAAACAAAATAAACATCTAGATTCATTTGTCAGCTATTTCTTGTACTTTCATCCAACGGTTGAAAAGAAACCCCCTCAATATAATCTTCCGATGGTAAATTCAGATCAGGAATATCTATTGGGCCTCTATTACGGCCCAATCCAACAGAAGAAGATCCATTATTCTCTTGCTGTTCATTTTCAGCCGTTGATTTTGTTGAATTGTTGACTAAACCAATGGCTTGATCATTCTTTCCAATTTCCAAATTGGGGCTTTTCAGTTTACTCTTGAGGTCACTACTAGTCCTAACACCACATAGTAGCTGTAGAAAAATGGCAATTTTCATAAATCAAATCACAACAAAATAATTAAAAATTAAAAATTAAAAAAAAAAAAACGAAATCACAGATTAATTATATTTTATACCTGTTGCTTCCTCAATTTCAACTTCAAATTAAAACTTTTCAGTTGATCATAGTGATTCTTCACATTCTCAATCTCCTGTTTAATTTTCTCAGATTAATTAATTAAAAAATCAATCCATGAAAAAAAAAAAAACTCACTTGATTGATTGAAGCTTGGGAGTTAGTCAAATCTTGAATCATTTTAAGTGATGCTTCTTTTTCCTTTTGACATAAAAAAATACAAAACCTAAAAATCAGAAACGAAACCCGGAAAGAGTGAAAAATAGCGAAAGAAAAGGAAAAAAAAAAATAAGAATACCTTTTTAAGAGAAATTTTCTTCTTGTAACGTTTGAGTTTATCATCAGATTCAGTAGTCGGAAACGAAAGAGGCGTGGCAGGACTGGTAGCTTTAGCTCGACGGAGAATGTCGTCGAGGGCGGCGGTGGCATTAAGTCGAGGGTAGCGGTTGTTCGGAAGAGATGAAGGGTTGGATCTCTTTCTTCTGCATCTCCAACTGAATGGGACGCTACTGAACAAAGAGATATGGTATAAATCACGAATGGTTTCTGCAACTTTTTTCTCGGTTTCGGACCAATCGGAGGAGGGGATTTCGATTATTGTCATCACTGTGAGAGTGAGCGAATCTAAATCACTCAGAGTGAGGTTATAGTAATTAGTGTAAAGTGTGAGAGAGAATGAAATTATTTACATGTGTTGCCTCTCTTTAAATCAACCCAACAAACTCGTAAATACATATTCCTTGCCTCTTCACACGTGTCACTCTCATTCTTTTAAGGTTTTTTATTTTTATTTTTATATTTAAATAAATATAACATAATATACTTGAAGCAAAAGAATTTAATATTTAATTTATTTTTACATTTAAGAAGATACAAGACGGTTACTATTGAGAGAATGAGTTAACTTATTATGATTGTGGCGGTGACAGTCTTGAGTATGTTTAGATTTTACTATGGTAAATATTTGAAAATTTTAAACATATAAAGTATTTTTAACTTCAAATTTATAAAATTTTATTTTCAAGTTATAGTGTTGCATAGTAAATTAAATAGTGTCTTTGTGATTTGAATTAAATATTTTAAAGAAAAAGGAGTATGAATAAATTATAAATGACTTTATATAGGAAATGAAAAAATATATTGTAGGGGAATGTTTGAGGGTTTATAAATGGATGATGATATAGAGTAAGTAAGATGCTACTACGACATTATTAGGTTGGTAGATATATTTAATCGACTATTTGGCTATTATTTAATTTATAGTTTTGGTTAGGTTTTGTTCGATTTTAAGTATAGACTTTGAATCAGAAGAATATTGTTTATGTATAAAAAAATGACTCGTTGATACTTTATGATTTTGGATAGAGATGATAACTCTCATTCTCTTGTTGTCAATATTAGAGAATTGACTTCTTATTGTTGTTAGTGCTTATCTGAACTCGTTAACAAATGTTATTAAACCCTTGGCACATGTAAGAGAGCGAAAATGAATCATTTTATAGAAGTGAAAGATTTAAATTTAAGATGTTTGTTAAATTCTACGTGAGTAGTTAATATAGTTAGTCGATCAAATGATTATATAACGTACAATACTACAATAAATATGTTAAAGTAATACACAATTAGGAATAACAAAAATGTGATGTTATATTTCAAATTTTCTTTTCCTAAATAATTGTTTTATTTTTTATTAGTTATTTAGGATTTTGGGCATTATTATTACTAGTTTATCTTAAGAATTGTTTAAATTCTAAAGAAGGGGTGTATCATTTAGGGTTTATAGACCCATATAAGTTTTGGGGTTTATTTAATAAAATAAAAGGGGGTGTATTACTTTAATGGACCATCAAAATCTGATGGCTCATTAAGGTTTGGTTAAGATAGTAAGGGGGTGTATTTTTTAAATTTATTTGGCCCATTAAATTATTTTCTGAGGTCAGTTTAGAATAAACAAGAGGAATGTATTTTTTTTTTTTGAGCTAGAGATTTTGTTAAGACTAGAGGTCCAGATCGAGTCATCTTTTTTTGAAAGACCCATTTTCTTTTTTGGGACAGAGACCCGCCTGCCTTATACAACTCTGTTGTATTTGTTTTCAATAATTATTATTATTACTATATTTTTACTATTATTAGTCAGTATTATTTCTATCATTATTATTTTGTTGACTATGTCAAAATAGGGTTTTGAAACCCTAAAAGATAAGCGGTGCCCTATTCTTCATCAAGCTAACGAAGACCCAAGCCCAGAAACCCAAAAGAACAGATATTGTACAAATTCAAGGAAAAACACATCAAAATTAACACAAATCCAATCGAATCAATTTATATACAAATTACAAATCAAATCTCTAATCAAAATCAATTACAATCCAAAAATCAATTACAACCTAAAACAGAATCAAATCTCCTATAATCTAATCTCTAATTTCTAAAATAAATATTCGTAACGACAATGACAACATATTTTCCTAATCTATCTAAATACTAAACCTATATAAACCATATGATCTAAAATGTAAAGGATAACAAAAAAATTGGGGAAAAATTATAGCGGAGAATAGGAGAAGAAGCAGAAGCCAAAGTCAACCATCTTGCTTGAGATATGAGTTTCAATTTCTGAAATCCTAGATCTGTGTTGCGTCATCGTCGCCTTCAAATCGAAGTCGCACCATCATCGCAAACACCTGCAATTAGAGAAGAGGAAAAGGATTAGACACAGGGAGAAAGAACCAGAAGTAAATTTACAGAAAGATTCACTACAACAGACGATAACCCTTATAAACTTAGCTTAGGGTTATTTTTGTTGAATTAATTGAATGATTGGTGTTTCGTTTGTGTTTAATTGTATGATTCTGATCGAAATTGGGGTTTTTTAGGTTTGATTTTGGGGTCTAGGGTTAGGTTTAGGGTTCATATGAAGAACCCTAGGGTTAAGGTTCATACGCGTTGAAGGTTTCTGGGCTGGTATAAGGGTTAGGGTTCATGTGAGAACCCTAGGGTTCTTAGGTTTTGGTTAAGATTTGAAGGTTTCGGTTGAGCTTCAACCGGAAACCTGGGTTGTGTGGAGGTTGACAGGGTGGCTCAGGGCGGGCGGCATGGCCAAAGCAATTTTTCGATCGCCTGAGTTCTAGAGAGAGGTCAAAGTCTCTCTCTAGAATTTATTTTAATGAGAAGGGATGGTTATAGAGAGAGAGGCAGAGAAGGGAAAAATGAGAAAAATGGGATAAAACTGAATATATAATGCTCTATGTACTCCATGTGCGTGTCTTAACATACTCTCTCAATCAACTCTCAATCCAAGTCGTTGTTAGTTCATACCCTAAATCAACGCTCCGGAATTAATCTCTAGAAATCATTTGATCAAGATCAGGCGCTACAGATTCTTCTAACATACCATAAACCCCTGGATCACTCACAAATTGTTCAACGGATCCGATAACATGTTTTCGGCCAGACCCTTTTCTTTTAGCACCCTCTAAATATTGTCTTACTATTCTTCCACGCTAGGTTGCACCCCATACATTATGGGCCAAGTTCAATATCTCGATTTGGACCATTACTCTCTACATACCCTCAATTTTGCTACCTAGTGCAAATTCCCACCTCCCACGCGCTTTGAGCCTAAATCCAATATCTGGATTTAGGGCCATGTTATTTACACCCCCGACCTTTTACTAACAAACTGAAAATATACCCCTTGCGTTTTATAATTAAATTTTTTTTTTATCTACTCATTTATTCACTTATTTATATTTTTCTATTTTACTTTAATATAATTACTATTTTTAATTAATATATTTATAATAAATTCTAATTTTTTTTTTTAATTCAAATCATTTTTTTTTATATATACTAACCCATTCAAATATTTTTAATTACATTAAAATTATTTTTCCTCATGCATAAAAATATTTTTAATATATTTGAAAATACCTAACCAATCAAACTACTAACAATTTTCTACTAACTTAATAAAATATTATTTTCAAAAAAGGATTATGGAGATATTTCTCATTAACTGCGAACTTCGTCTAACAACTCCACAATTTATAAACCCAGACTTGGTTCAAGGATTAATTCGAGATATTTTTGTAATCCATAAAAAAAACACCAACCAACACTATAAACTATGAAGTGGGACTCTGATTCCTCATAAGAGGATAGGCAGGCATACGACTTAAAAACAGTGGCGAGTTCCCCTAATTAAAATTAAAATCATATTTCCTGAATTGTAATCTAAACCCTAGTATCATTGTGAACAAGGTAGATGAGGGGTGCCTAACACCTTCCCTTCGTCTAAAACGAGTCAACAACTTAGAATCTCTGACCAAATTAGGGTTATCTGTTATATTCCCTTTCCTAGGATAAAAATTAATAGTGGCAACTCTCATTTTAAAACCGGTTATAACAGCTGGTGACTCTGCTGGAGACTCAACTTTAGGGTTTAGAAGTCTTTCCTTTTGGGTTTTTAGGGTTTTTTTTTCTTATTTTTAGTTATTTTCTATACTTGCTTATTCAATTATTTATTTATTTATTATTATTATATTAATTGTCATTTTTTCACCTGTTGACGAAATTTTATTTTAAAAAAAATTATTTTCAAAAAAAATTTAGACAGAAGGTTCGTCTATTGGCCAAGGGGATACATCATCCCTATGAGTTTTTGTGACGACTTCGCCTAGAGTCGGTGGAATTCCAAAAAAAAAAAGTACGTCTCAAGAGATATCCTCTTAGAGGGTGGGACTTTGGATTGAAACCTATGACTTTTTGTATAACCCTTAAACCAAAATCTCATGGTGAGACCTTTCACGATCTTAGAGACGAAAGTTTCGGTCTGCAAAGAGGCTCCGCTTAAGGGAGGCCCTTGTGCCTTTACCTCTAGCGTAATCCATGACACCCTTAAGGAAGCCACCTTATGGGGAGGGTAGAATATTCGTAGACCAAAACTATGATCCTACCAACTAAGGATACCTATCATTAAATCCCGTTACTATGCCACACAATCATGCATTCATACATCTTGCATTTCACATATTCATTACCCTTTATTCTTTTTGTCTATCTTATTCACAGGATTAAAAAAATATAATCGAAGGTTTTTTTGGTGAAGTGTCTTAAAAATGAATACCAGAGGGAAACAACTTGTCTGTGTTAATGTCGTTAAGCCAGATATGACGAAGATCAAGACCATCAAAGGGAAACTGTCTAAAAGAGCTTTGAATGTGTTTACTCGCTGTTATGGGGATACCCTTAAATTTACAAAAGTAGATGTACAATTGGATGCTATTTATGCCTTGGTTCAGTTCTACGATCTTTTGTTGAGGTGTTATACCTTCCAAGATTTTCAGCTAGCGTCGACTCTGGAAGAATTTGATAGACTTTTGAATTTTTCTAAGGGGAAAGTGTATGTGGGAATTGGATAAACTATTGATGTTAAGGAGTTAGCAAATGGTTTAGGGATCCCTTATCCTAAATTCTCACTTAATTACAAAAAAAGAAGGGGATGTACAAAGGGTTAAGAGATGCTATTTGGAAGTTGTTGTACCCCAAAATTTTCCCTCCCTTTCTTTTAATATTTTCTTCTAGGGTTTTGCAACTATTCAA